GAGTTCTGTCATTGCTGATTCCTTCGACAATCCTTGTCTTTAACGATCGAGTTTGTAAGTTCTCCATACTCACAGTTCTTTGCTAATCGTTTCAGTTCCGTCACAAACTGCTCTACCGATTCGTCAGGCTTTTGTTTCCTCAAGTTAAACACATGCCTTTCGTGCGTGACATTTTTTTTTGGAAGACAATACGCTTCAAATTTCGCTACTAACGGCTCGATTTTATCTTTTTCTGTATCTTCAAACGTGAGTGTTTCGTAAACTGTAATCGCTGTTTCGCCAGCCAAGGTCAAAAACGTTGCACACTGTATTTTCTGCGACTTTTTGTCTTTCTCAGTAGCGGTCATGTATAGCTCGAAGGCTTTCTTCCAACGCCGCCAATTTTCAGCTGCATTTCCATCGAGTTTCAACGGTTTTGGGGCTGGGATTTGTTCTGCCATTTCGTGTTCTTGTATCTTTGATTAAAATCCCTTTTCTGACACCATGTAACGTTATATATTTTATTTATCTTATGCCGTATAAACTACATTTAACTTTACTTGATAACTCAACTATACTCAGTCCTTGTTCAACGTTCCTTCGACGTCCCATGTGTTCGCATGCATGAGTCACGTGATATCCTTACAATCGGCTGCCGTAGTTTGAGGTATTTTACCAACTTCGCAGAATCCACTGTAAGCATCAACTGTTATAAGAAAGTCTTTTCCGCCTAGACTGTAAAGATCCTGCGCAATGACACTCCATGGGGGCTTTGGAAGCTCTGGAGTCATCAGGGGTTCTTTGGCTTGTGCTGGCGCAAATTCTGCACAAAGACTGCAGCTGCTCACCAGATTTTGAACTTGTTGGCTCATGTCGGGCCAAAAAAGGGCACCTCTTGCACGGCGAAGACACGCTTGCTCCCCTTGATGACTAGTATGTATACGAGATAGCAGCTTCTTGGGAGAACAGTGGGGACGATGACCCTATCTCCTTTGTACAACACCTCAATACTTATTTCATCACGGAACGTCCAATACTCAGCAACGCTCGGATCTGACTCCGGTCTGGTTTCAGGCCATCCCCGCAACACTATCTCTTTAAGGCGCTGTAACCTTGCTCCGCCTCTGTTTCACGCTGGATACTCCTCAGACCGTCAACCAATACTCTTATAAATTCAGACGCATTTATTTGTTCCACATCCACAAGGCAAACATCTTCTTTCTCCGGTCTCAGGCAGTTCCAGGTTGGACCGGACTTCGGGTAAAGGAGCCCTAGAAAGCGTGTCGGCAATAAACATCTCAATTCCTTTCTTATGACGAACTTTAAGATTATACTTCTGAAAACGGAGTAACATGCCGACGACGCTTTGGAGCAGCTGTCAAGGGCTTCACAAAAGTCGCTTCTAGGGGCTTGTGGTCGCTCTGTACATCTACCGACTCTCTTCCATATATGTATTGATTAAATCTATCACATGAAAAGACTATTGCTAAACACCCCTTTTCTATCTGGGCGTAACCTCGCTCTGTCGGTGTTAATGTCCTGGACGCAAATGCCACAGGTTGTCCATCTTGAAGAAGAGCAGCTCCAAGACCAGTCTCACTGCTGTCACACTGAATTGACACTGGCTTGCTAACATCATAATAGCATAGAATTGGATGGCTTGCAACCAGTTTCTTGATACGATCGAAGGCATCTTGATGGTGCTTTTCCCAGATCCATTCAGCATCTTTGTCGATTAGTCGTCTTAGATGTTCACTCTCGACTACGAGATGTGGCACGAATTTGGCGAGGTAATTGACAAAGCCTAGAAGTCTTTCACCGCACGCACACTTTCCAGGATCAGGCTTTACACCATCGGGGGTAAGCAGGTGGCCAATATAAGGAACTTCGTTTAATATAAGCTTCAGCTGCTTGGGATTCAGTTTTAAGTTCACTTCCCTTGCTCTCTGCAGCAATGCTACAAGATTTTTATCATGATCACAACGCGCTTCCTCTTGTGTCTCCCCTTGACCTGTGATCAGGATGTCGTTTGCGATTACGTGGATGCCAGGGAGACCTTCAAGCGTCTCATGTTGTCGTCTTATTTTTCGGGGGCAATGGCAATCTTAAATGGCATTCTTAACAAACGGTACCTGAAAAACGGAGTCCAGAATGTCGTGAGGTAGCTACTTGCTTCATCCAGTTTGGCTTGCCAGAAGCCATTCTTCGCGTCTGCCACGCTGGGAATTTTTGTTGGTGTTTCCGGCCAAAGAAGTGTTGCAAAAATTTCCATGACGCCATATTTAGTTGAGAGATCGTCGTTAAGCCTAGTTTCCATTTGGTCGTTAGTAGTAATATAGGGGCCGTTCGGGCCTTATTTTTAGGGGGCCGTAGAGGGCCGCTTCATTATGCAAGGGGGCCGCATCATTATATATGCAGGTAATTAAGGGGGGCGCACATTATATATGCAGGTAATTAAGGGGGGCGCACATTATATATGCAGGTAATTAAGGGGACCACACATTATATAAGCCGGTAATTAAGGTGACCGCACATTATATGCAGTTCACTTAATATATGCATGACGTCACATGGGCAAGTTTGGACGAGGTCGTGTGAAACTTGCTGAGTAGGCATTTTTTAGCTTCCCTCCACGTGTGTGATACAATAGAGGGATTAAGCTTAGCTTACTATGAACTTTTATACAAGTGTCTGTATAAAATCGACAAGCGTCTTGTAAGAAGCATAGTTCTGCATTTGACAACGCTTAGTTCTACATTAGTCGTGGAGTGTCTACATGGTGGGACCACGTCTTACAATTTATTGGAAGGAATATATGCGAATGCAGTCGCACAAGAAGTTGAAAGATTTTGTGTGGAATCCAGTAATGGTTTCAAGTCAGTCATCCTAGTCAAATTCAACACGACTGCCTCATGATGAACGAAAACGAACGATGGCAAATGTATGGTTTACAAGCGATCGAACGAGTGAATGGCAAGCGTATGATTTGGAATGAATTCGCTGAGGCAATGACGCTACTTGATAGATAGATAGATAGATGGATAGATAGATAGATAGATAGATAGATAGATAGATAGATAGATAGATAGATAGATAGATAGATAGATAGATAGATAGATAGATAGATAGATAGATAGATAGATAGATAGATAGATA